ATAATATATATATATATATATATATATATATATATATATATATATATATATATATATATATATATATATATATATATATATATATATATATATTATATATATATATATATATATATATATATATATATATATATACATATATATAATATATATATATATATATATATATATATATATATATATATATATAATATATATAATATATATATATATATATTAATGTATATATATATATATATATATATATATATATATATATATATATATATATATATATATATATATATATATATATATATATATATATATATATATATATATATAATATATATATATATATATATATATATATATAATATACATATATATATATATATATATATATATATATATATATATATATATATATATATATATATATATATATATATATATATATATATATATATATATATATATATATATTATATATATATATATATATATAATATATATATATATATATATATATATATATATATATATATATATATATATATATATATATATATATATATATATATATATATATATATATATATTATATAATATATATATATATATATATATATATATATATATATATAATATATATATATATATATATATATATATATATATATATATATATATATATATATATATATATATATATATATAATATATATAATATATATATATATATATATATATATAATATATATATATATATATATATATATATATATATATATATATATATATATATATATATATATATATATATATATATATATTATATATATATATATATATATATATATATTATATATATATATATATATATATAATATATATATATATATATATATATATATATATATATATATATATATATATATATATATATATATATATATATATATATATATATATATATAATATATATATATATATATATATATATATATATATATATATATATATATATATATATATATATATATATATATATATATATATATATATATATATATATATATATATATATATATGAACAGATATCTAAATATTGTCAATACACTGATTACTAGATAAACCAAAATGATTAACTTTTTCACTGCCCATAACCAAAATGAGGCGTATATATGTAATACAGGAAACTGAAATACTCGTCTTTTAATGAATTAACATTTATGTCCACAGGAAAGTAAAATAGTTGTTTGAGCTTTTCATTAGTAAATGCCTAAATGTTATCTTTGGTTCTTTTCAGATTACCTGGGTTAATCTTGACGTGTTTTAAGGTACATACAACAGTTTTGTTTTTCTTTCATAGACATGACTTATTTTCTCATATTTGTTGATTATATATATATGTATATATATAAACGGCTCAATACTTTAATTTCATCATCTTAGTAAATTTCATCAGCCAGGTCACACTTTGATTAGGGATTTCATTAGCTACTGTTATTATGTGATAAGTAACAAAACCCTTTATAATAATCTAATGTTAATCATATCACAAGGAGAGAAAAACAAAAATAAAGTATTGTCAAAAATTTAATGATTTCAAGATATAATCAATATATTTCTCATGTACATAAATGTGCTCCTTCTCTCTATCGTTCTCTCATATACAGGTAACTGTCTTGTTTTAAACAGTTAAGAGAAATTGTGTCCCCTTCGTATCTACTGAGACATGAATGAAATCAGCATAAAATATTCTAAGCTGGGGGAACACCACTATTTTCACCACTTTTCATTGTGGTCTCTCATAGCAAGGTACAACTCCCTTCATTAATCTCTCTACTCCATTGCTCATTGCAAGAATACATGTGAACTTGCTAGGCATTAGATACAGTACCAATATTACCTAATTGACAGAGACATTAAATTTCCTCTTAGATGAGAAGGCATAAACTACAAGAAAAAGGCATTGCTGGACGGCTGTATTGCTATACATGTTGAGTATAAGGCATATAAGGATTTTCATATAGATGTCCATTTCTCAAAAAGTTTGAAGACCTTAATTCATCATAAATCTACATGAAAATTATAGTATCTTTAGTTATTTACATTTGCAATATACTTAGCCTGAGTTTTTGCCATTCTTTTAAAACCATTTCAAATATATCACTCACCACACATTCAGATTAATGAGACCTTACAGAATACAGGTACTGCATTGTGCAGAAGGAATGTGTCCAATAGTTGATGTACAAAGCAAGTCAACTCTCATCTCTTTAGAGCAACTCTATCATAATCCTGTATAATCAGGACAGACAATACAATAAAAAGTTGGATTGTTTTGTTTCATTTGATTGACTACTTCTTTGACTATAAATCTTGTAAACAAATGTTATCATTTCTTAACACAGATGATTACCACATAAAATATATACCCTTAGATGATGTTTATATGTGTTAGCTATGATTTAAACAAACATCTTAAAGGTAATGTTCATCCAGAAAAAAATATTTCCAAGGTACAAGGAATGTCTGCTAAGGAAGAATATTCAATATACTTGCACTCCATTTGATTAAATGCAAGTACTCCACTAAATAACATTTCTACTGAATAGACTTCATATTTTCCCAACCTCAAAATCACATCAGAACTCAAAAATCAAAGTACGGAAAAATAACCACTACAGTTCCAGTAGACTATCTCACTGCTGCCCTTTGCTAGACCGTATTTATGAGGATCAAAATAACAGTCGACCGTACATTTATCTGCATTGTCTCATACCCACTGGAGAACTGGACATGACATTGTGGGGAAAACATGATATGATTTTTCTGAAAAATAAAGCAACCCCCAGACAACATTATTTTGAAACAGTAACTAATTGTCTAAGCAAGAGGATGGGTAGTTTACATACAAAATTATCAATCTAAATAGTGTGATTGTTTTCTCTCAGAAGATAGCACCTCTTTGACTAGGGATGTTACATACAGCAGGTAATGATATACCTACTACTTCCTGGCAACTAAAATACTTAATGACTAGGAACAAAGATGTGTTGTTATGCAACTAAATCAATTCTTTAAAACCAAGGTAACTTGGCATGATTCACTCAGATGTTTATATATAATGCTCTACAATAAGTCATTTTTTAAATAATAAATATATTTCACTATAAATTCTTTAAAATCTGAAAATAGCTATGACTGCAAGTAAATTATTAAAATGACATTAACGCAGATAATTTTGCGAATATTTACTTTACTTCTAAAAGAACCCAAATCCAAATGGAATTACTCTAAAACTGCACAAAATATTTTCTCCCTTCTGAAAATATTAAATTAATCCTCTTATTCCAATGAAAAAAAACTATATATATACTGATAAATTGCAAAAAAAAAAATATGATATCAAAGAAAAGGAAAGTAAGATATGATCAATGGAAAGTAAGATATGATCTATAGATCACCTTGAAAGAATATATATAAAAAAGTGAATTTGATAGAGCTACATGATGATATCATCTTGATTGCATTCTCTTAATCTAGCATTGATTCTGCAGCCACACTGTTCCATCTGGTATTGAATTTATCATTCATATTGTTATCCAGCCAGGAGAAAGCAAAGATATTCATGACTATATTCTTCTAGTTGTTACCAACATTGAAGAGCTTTCCATTTTCTTCTTGAAAGAAATCACAGGCAACTGGCAAAATGTAATTGGACTGATTATTACCAGTGCCTTATAAACACTGCAAAATTCTGATTCCACTTCCGAGGTGGCTCAGAGTATTGCATAAACTATTACTAATGCATAAATCACTACACATTTTTTTTTTTAGAAAATGAAGATCAATTCTTTTATATTTTGTGACAACATTTAATTTGTGCAAAGGATGATAAAGGCAACTAGAATTTTGGACTTATCCATTACATCTAAATTCTTGCTAAAAGATGAGCAAGAAAATACGTAAATCAACAACAAAATGATATTGTATTTTGATGGCTTTGACACGTTTCACAAGTTACCATGCCTTAGAAAAATATGACACAGACACACCCTTACTTATAGACATTCACGATGCAAACACAGACATCCAAGTCTCTGATACAAATTAAAACATGAATAAAATCAAGTATTCAACACTGTTCAGTCAGCCATCCTGAGTACTTGAGATTCAGGACAAGTATTCTTCTAGGAGACGTTCTTACATTTAATATGACATTTATAAAATACCTTTCGCAACATTTAACAAACATTCTTATCACACTGGAGTTATGGTAAAAACATCAATGAACTGGTAGAAGGTATGCACAGTATTGGCTTTCCCGCATATATGAAAAGCATTTCTGGAATCCATTTACGAATGTCTTAAATTAAACTAAACAATAATGTGAGAGCAAAAAGTTTATAATTCAATAAATGAATATCTCAGAGCACTCAACATATATATATATATATATATATATATATATATATATATATATTATATATATATATATATATATATATATATATATATATATATATATATATATATATATATATATATATATATTTTATTTTGCAACATAATATGAAAATAGGTATGCAATAAGACAAATCAGGAGATAAGCAATAGGGCTAACCTCAGCAGAGACAAAACAGAAATTCAAACATTAATAGAGAAATCAATGATTTATGCATAAATAAAATATATTAGGATTCAGTACTGCCTCTTGGTGAGAGGTGGTAGCCTCACATTATAGCGGTTTCGAGGAGGATACAGGCCAGCTCCTTGCGGTGTGGTAAGCATCTCACGACTCACGGAAGACCTCATGTCACTACCATTAGATACTGAGATGAGGGAGAGATCGTCACGGGAGTTTCCGGGCAACCCCGTGCGCATTGGTGGCCGCTGCTGTCCTGAGCTGTCTGAAGGGCTAGACACATTGGTGCTGTGCCTGCGATTGCGCTTGTTCCCTGCCCTTCCATAGGAGTCTCCTGAGGGTGCTTTAGGGTCCCGAGACCAAGCATCACCCGCAGTGCTAGCCCCAGAGGAAGGCCCAGGTCCAGAGAGAGCAACTTCTCCATCACTTCCTTTCTTCACCTCCTTGTTTGAGCCAGCTGATGATGGGGCATCATTCCATGCATTTGCTGGGGAATTTATATCATCAGACCGTGCATACCTACTCCAGTTGGCGCGCTGCTAGTCCTGTAGCTTTATTCTCTCTAAGCTATGTCTACTCTCATTTACATTCTTTTCCTCTGCATTAGCAATGTGTGCAGCTGACATTGCTGAGCTACAAGAACTTGGAGACTGAGTTTGGGCATGCATCTCTCGTGCCACAGAGTACACGTAGGTGATGTCTGGACGTTTATCCGGCTCTGGATTTATGCAGTTGTCTACCAATGTTCTGAGCTGCAAATCACAAAGGTAAATATATATTTTAGTTATCAAAAAGGAAAGAGAAAGGACATTTTTCAAATACAAACTGTTCCATGAAGACTGATCTAAATTGTTACTTGTTTCAAGACAACAATTCACCTAAGGGTGGGTTGGATTCATATTTGGTATTAAAAAATATACTGAATCTCAGATTAAATTCGGTTTTGCTTGAAACACACTAATTTTTGAATGAGTAACTGCCCACATTTTACTGAAATTTTGGGCTACAAGAAATTAAATGAACTATAGTCAAAACAACTGAAGTATTTTATTCAATCAAAGTGATATCACTTGTCATGAGATACTTGAAAAACTCTTTAAGATACAATCAGTCAATCAACCAATGGGGGCTAAGACCAACGAGGGTGCATAGCAACAATAACCCTTCCCTTCCAAATATAATTCACTGAAGTAATATAGTAAGACAAAGTATCCTTTCCTGAAAACTATACAATTATCTTTTTGGCATACTGTACATATCAATGTGTATTCCTCAAAATAGGCCAAATCAGACTCATCAAACATACTCCACAGCTGGACTCAAAACAGAAAGGTATCTTTATATATGTCCAATTAAGCTGCAAAGTAACAAAGAAGCACCCTCCCAATGGTGTTGGCAGATGAGTCAATATATAATACATTGTTGCATTTTGTTTTGTAAGCCTATGAGACAAGGTGTTTAGGAGACAGCTCATAGGACAGAATCAGACTGTAAACTACATGAACAACCTTTCATAAACTTTTTTCCAGTATCACAAAAGTTACCTCCAGCTACTTTACCTATGAACTTCCATAGACATAACAGTATCTAATAAAATTACACATACCTCTGATGAATAGTGATCAGCTGGGAGTGGTGGATAATCACAGGACTCAATTTTCTTACAAAGTGAGTAGAGGTTCATTTTATCTCCATAAAATGGACTCTGCAAGGCTGCCATCTGTTGGAAGAAAAATTGGTATTTCAACGAAACATTGCAGAAAATTATTTACGAAACAACCCAGAGAGAGGGAGGGAGGGATAGAGGAGGAGAGGGAGACAGATAGAGAGAGAGAGACAGACAGACAGACAGAGAGAAACACACTGACAGACAGACAGGCAGGCAGTGGTACAGAAAAAACTGTCAGACAAACAGACAGAGAGACAGAGAAGGAGAGAGAGAGAGAGAGAGAGAGAGAGAGAGAGAGAGAGAGAGAGAGAGAGAGAGAGAGAGAGAGAGAGAGAGAGAGAGAGAGAGAGAGAGAGTGAGAGAGAGAGAGAGAGTGAGTGAGAGTGAGTGAGAGTGAGAGTGAGAGAGTGAGAGTGAGTGAGAGAGTGAGAGTGATGATGAGTGAGTGAGTGAGTGAGTGAGTGAGTGAGTGAGTGAGTGAGTGAGTGAGTGAGTGAGTGAGTGAGTGAGTGAGTGAGTGAGTGAGTGAGTGAGTGAGTGAGTGAGTGAGTGAGTGAGAAAGTGTGCAAGAGAGTGACAGACTGACAAACAGACAAACAGAAACACAAGAGAAAAACTGCAAAAGACTACAACTGGACAATAAAATGATGAGAGAAAAACTATATCAAAATACTTAAGCGAGACCACCACTAAAGTCAAAACAGGTAGTCAGTCAATGGCCTATGGAAACCTACACACAAAATTTAAATAAAACCATCAGTAACCTCTTATGAGCCTATTAACAAACCAGTATGCACCACTGAATGCATAACCCATTTTGAGGAGGAAATGAAACACAATTTTTCTCTAAAACTTACCAGTCCTCAGGCCCATATTAAAAAGCCATACAACTGGATGCTATTAGGATATCATATAACTTTTTTTTCTTGGCATTTTGGCTAACTAATGTCTCTCATTAATCATTCCTATGCACCAATTACAGAACCATTTACCTCAAAAATGTCCTACACAATAGACCAGGATGATTCTAGAAAATGGATACATGAAAATCAAGAAACATGTACTAACCCTGGGCCTATAGGTGGGAATCAGTTCATAACTGCCTTATCATCACTTCCAGCTCTCTTACAGACTTACATAAGACATCAGGGTATCACTATTGCAAATCATTGTCAGGAAATGTCTTTTGCCTAATAAATATATAAAAAAGGAATAGGTATACATTCCTTCACCCCGTCTTAAAAATGTTCTGAGAGGCAAGGTTACATATAAGCCACAATTGATTGCATAACACCCATCTTTTCAATCATACAAGATGAAACTTTTATTTCTTCATCCTAATACCTTTTTGCACCAAATAAGCTAATGACCATACTTTCTATTTTCTAAAATTAAAAAAAACATACACTGTGCCACTTAGAAGACAAAATATAGTGCTTCAAATTATTTAAGACATATTCTAGATATTATGTAGAAAATGAATGAATGAGAATGATTATCTTCACAATACAAGAGATGTTATTTAACCAGTTTGTAGTTTCTATTGAAGATACATTTAAAACATCTCGTTTTAAGAAATCCATGCTCATTCATACCTTTTCTACATCTGTCACAATATCATGTTGGTTGGTTGATCAAATTTTTATGTTTTAAGTTTGAATTCAGACCAGCACTTGCAAAACTCAGCTTTGAGCTTCAAGTTGGGAGGTAAGTTTTGTAGCCTCCAACTCATCATTGTTATCTATAAATTCTCTTTTATTAGAGAAATAACCTGGTTATTTATGAATAAACTTCATAGCATGTTTTAAACAAATATGTCACCAAACTGGCTGGTTTTGGTATCCAATTCTGTCTAAACTATCATGACTTTTAGCTTGTTAACTAAAAGTTTGGGATGATTCACTAACTAGTCTATTATTTTTTTCCATTACATCACATAATTGTCAAAGCTGTAGGAGGTGCAGTGGAGTCATGTCAGTTACACCAGCTTTCCAAACAGAGGGTCACATGATTAAGTTGGCACCATTTACCATAAACAGAAAGCATTTTCATCAGCTCACAACACAGCGAGCCACTTCTCTAATATCCAACCTGCATATTTCTTAGTCAATAAAATCCTTCTCTTCTTCCTCACCTTACTGTTTTTAAAGTCTGAGCATAATGCTTCATGCACAATATGAAGAATCACTTTGGTTAGTAAATGAGAACTTTTTCTATAAGCTGATTAACATCTCTATCCACCTCTTGATGAGGTTTCTCATTCTTTCTGACTTTTTTTGGCCTCTCACTCAGTTTAAAGGGAGGAAATGATTCTTTTTGCCATAATTAGCTTTATCTGTAACCTCACATTCCCTCCAAATCAAATATTTCTATGCTATTCTGCCTGATATATTCCTGGCAACAAAGAGGCCTGAGGGTAAAAGATGTTATTACAGTCATTACACATTGGTGGCACATAGCAAGTGCTGTAGTTTGTGTTATTTAGTTTTGGATAAGGCAAGGGGGTCTCACGCTGCCAGAGGTCATTTTTTGTTCTATTTTAGTTTACAGTACTAGTATGGGAAAATTTTATTATCTGCAAAAAATCTCCAGGTGTCCACACCTCATGAACATTTTACTTTACAATCGATTTTTTTTTTTTTTTTCAAATTACCTACTTAAAATTCCTCATGAAAATAAACAAACACAATTCTATTACTGATAACAAAAGACAAATTACCTTAAGCATTGATGTTTTAATTACAAGTGCAAACACTAATGATTTATAGAGAAAGTTACTAAAAAGTAATAAATTCACCAACTTTACTTTTTCAAAACCAATTTTTGGAAATAATTTTCAAACGCTAACATTTCATCCAGAAGAAAAGTCTAAATAGCATAATTACCTCATACAGCAAACATCCAAGAGACCAGATATCACTCTTGAAGTTGTACCCATGCTCGTGAATTCTCTCTGGGCTCATGTAGTATGGAGTGCCAACAAGAGAGTGTGCTGCCGTGGTCTTCGAGCTAAAGAATCTGCCAAGCCCTAGATCTCCTAATTTCACTATGCCTTGTGCTGTGATGAAGACATTAGCTGGCTTGATATCTGCAAAAATACAAACATTATTAATCAGAATTCATCTATATTCTGTTTCAAACATAACCAGGAAGGAATAGAATGCTACAGATGATAAGAAAAATGTAAAATGGAATCACTTTAGCTGTAGTTTCTTACTACTTGAACACAATTCTACTGAACTTCAGGATAATTGCAAAAAATATTAACTGCCACTTAATTAGTATAGGAATTATGTCTTACAATTCATAATAAACCTATAAAATGAGGCTTAACAATGTAATATGGGCATTTCTCTTCTTCCATCTTCTTTCTCAGCAAATCATCACCTTTATAAACTCTCTGCTCATACCTCTCATTAAATTGATCTGTTTAACCCTTCATACATGGGTATTTGTACTGACCATTGTAGTTTTTTGTGTATTTTTTTGCACACAGATAGCTGTATAAATGCTCAGGTACCGAAGAGGTCAATTAGTAGGCACTGCGTGACCTCACCTGATTCCCTTAGTCCTTGAATTTTTGGGATTACTAATAGCAATGAAACAAAAAGAAATTCTGAAAAACTAGGAAAAGAATAAACAGGTGTGATAAGTAAGACAGTGTTTTAATTAATAAACTAAAACACAGTGGACATAGCAGGTATGTTAAGCTATCCCAGCAGAGGGTTAATATGATGATCATCATTTATTCTTTGTCCCCAAGATAATAATATTCTTGGACATATAGCTTAATGACTTTGTCCCAAATAATAATAACTAATCTTCTTATACAGAAATAGTTACTTCCAGCATAAAGTTTATAAGATCTAACCATTTACATTGTAGTTCTTTTCCATTTATCAAATCTATAGCTGTTTAATAAGAATATTTCTGTGATATTTTGTACATTTCTAAAATTTTCAGCTTTGCTATAAAAAATACAAAGGACACTTTAAATTCTAAAAATATATCATTGGTGCATAAATCACTAAAAAATTGTAGTAGAATGCATCTGGATGTAATAATTTTTTAGAAAATGATGCGATGACCAAGAATATTACCACAATTTCCCTTAATAAATGAATGGTCATCAACATATAACCTTTGCAGTCTGTTTCTAATATATATGAGTTGGTTAGCAAGGTTTGTTGAAATTTTGGTCATAATTCATTAATGGTGTATGTCAAATATAAGATAATGTTTGAAGAAAGGACCAACAATACATGTTAGTTAAAAATATAAAGTCCAGACAACTAATAAGTATAATAATAACAAGAAGTAAATTACCCCTATGCATTATCCTCTTCGAGTGCATGTGATCAAGGGCAGAACACAGTTGCACAAAGTATTTCCATATTGTCCTCTCTGGTATCAAACGCTGCTGCTTACGGAAGTGCCGAATCATACGAGATAGATCTCCAGCATCAGCCAACTCAAACACGATGTTGAGTTCATTGTCTTCGATGAAGGACGCAAGATAGTGGATGATGTTGGGATGATTCAGTTTCTGCAAAAGAATGTATAAGTATATATACAATTCCATAAGCTTGTGGAGTTTGCAAACAATTATATCTATCATAACACTGCTAAAACACATACTGAATTTAAGGGTAGATAGAATATTTAATAACATATTTTTAATATATCCTTATTGTAGCTAAACAGATGTCTACAAGTGTTTGGGAAAAAAGGGTCTATCACAGTAAGTGGATACACCCAAAAGAATTATTAAGAAATAGGATACCCAGTTAATATAGCCCAAGAGCTCTCTATCATGACTGCCACCAGTCACTGATTTTTACAACAAATCATTACAACTACTGAACGAAAAGGGTATCTATCTAGTTAGCAGTAGTCAACTGCCATTATAACATACACTCATATCCAAGATGTATGCCTATTCCAACAAAGCCTATTCTAGGCCTATGACATGATGTAAGTGGCAAGGGTTTCCATCCATCTTGTCTCTGTGTATCAAAACATGCAAGGGTAATGTTTTAATAACAATGCTCTTTTTTCAAAACCTGGCAACATTTAATTATTGTTATATAATCTATAAATCTACATACTTATTAGTACTATCTTATTCCCAAGTTAAACCAAGCCAACAGAAAAAGTAACTAATAAAGAAGAAACATGATGTGCAATCAGTTGGTCACATTCTACACTGAAATAGCTGTCAGCAGGTACAACCTTCAAAACCATGATTTTTTTTTTTTCCATTTCTAACTCCTACATCTGAACTAGTGCAATATTTCAGTTACACCTAGGCATGGACAACTGACATAACACTATGTCCAAGTTTTATTGTATGTTTACATGTCTGGGTTGAGATATAATTTACCAAAAAGTCTTATCCCTTTTGAGAACCAAAACAGTGCCTCTGCTGACTGTAATTAGTAAAATTATCAAAATAAATCAGGACTTTGGACCTCAAATGGTCAATCAGTGCCATTTGTAAACTCTTATTTCAGCCAAAAAAATCTTTTAATTATCATTATCATCTTTATAAGAAATTGACTTGTCAAAAATATGCCTTCCAGTGAGGGTTGCATTGTACCCACTAACCATCGACCCCTTCAAGGAATGCTTAAATTCTCCTCGACCCCCAGGAATGTACAAAAATATATATAAAAATAATAATCAACTAGATGTAGAGCTTCCATATACATTAGTGAGGAGAACTGCATGCCAAGCGCTACTTTCCACATACATCATATACTGCAAACCAAGCCCAAAACAGCAAAAAGCCCCAACATTTATCTACCGCATTTGGACCCCAGGAAATTATCAACCCCTTCTGCTATAGCCAGTCACAAAAGCATTAAAGAATTGTCAAATAAACTATCAAATAAATAATGTTAAATACTTAAAATGTTGGACTTGATGCTGGACCTATAAAAAGCTATGAGATATTCTGAAATGAAAGAGAGTTTTACTATTAGCACTACAACTGTTAGGTAAACCCATAACAGAATAGCAATTATCTCATAGGACTAGGATGGGCTTGGTTTGCAAGCAGTTGATGTTAAAATCCAAAGATATTTTGTATCTAGCACGGCAAATGGCACACCACAAACTGGTGCAAATGAGTATTGGACTGTTTAGCCTTCTGCAACCTTCAGCAACAATGCAACTGTCCTGCAATTCATACATTTGTCACAAACTTCAGATAGTTATAATATAAATGCAACATCAGCAATGTAAACACTTTTGTTGCTATTGTTTATTTCATTCCTAGAAGCATAAGGAATCATTTCCCCTCTAACACCAGAAAATACTAGTCCATCTGCCATAAAATAGCTTAAAACTATTCTTCAGTAAAGCCAACAATCTGAGATTTTTATTAGCAAAGTTTAAGAACTTACAACAAAATTCAGTAATTCACACATTTTACACAATGATTTCATGGTAGATTCTATGTAAAGTATAACATTAAATACCACAATGTACTGATCTTAATGCATCTTACAATGTTTTGTGAATTTAGGTGCCACTTCTTTTATTATCATTTACATGATGCTGTTTCAAAATAAGATGATCATAATCCAAGTCATACAGATAATGACATTGCACTTCTAGAATTCTTCAGTAAATGTTTATCTATAAAGCATAAAAGTGCATGTTGTATACTGTTTATATGATGACTGTTAGGCATATGCTAGATTGGGATAATGTGCAAGACATAAAATACATGCAAACGTACTAATAGACTATGAGGATAATTAGTTGTGACCCCAATCCTCAAAAGCCCTAATTGTTTAAAAAAGAGACTGAAATCACAAATCAGGGCCCAACATAATACTGTTTTGTAAAAAAATAATAATAATAATAAATAAATAAATAAATAAATATTTGTTAGTGGTTAACAAAAATCTGCCTTACTAAATGACTTTCTTCACTCAGTCACATGCACACGCTATATTTCCATCACACACCCCTAAACTAACATTACCAATGTGATTATGTTGGGTTCCTAATTTACATAGTTTTGACTGGATTTCCTCATGCCACACAGGCCATGTGCCAGGGCGTGTGCACAGTCAGCTACTCAAGCCAGAAATTAGAACTGCAAGAAACATACAGTTACCCCACTTTCAATAAATGCAGGTTAAAAGTAGCTTTATGCCTACTTTTGTGAGGCTGTTCCTTAATGACTATAGCCAGGGCCAAATAGGCAAACAACTGTTTGCCACACAAACTAAGGCAGGCTCAAGAGCACATGGCTTAATTAGATATCATTCAGCATAAGTGGAGTTTTCATCATGATATGATAGGAAATTACCTGGCATAAGTGGGATAAGTATACCGAATATCTGCATATTCATTCCTTGGTAAAGGATATTGTTCTAACAAATGTATACTACAGTATCTTTGAGTAGATTGCTGAAAGTCTAAAATATGTCAGTATTTATTGGTCAGCTGAGAAGATCGAACATTGTTAGACAAGAACAGTGTTCCTGCCTAGCAAATGGCATCACTTGTCATATCAGTCCAATTTTGCCCGACCAAGTTTTATGATTACTCAGAAGTACAATATATACTGGAAGATTCACTTCTTGCTAGATTAAACTTAAACTTCAAAATCTGAATTCTTATATACTTCCCCTAAAGGCATATATCCACATCAACCTTTAAGAATGCATTAGCATATACAAGTGTGATAATGATAATAATTTCAAGTGAATGTCTATCCATCCATAGGGCAAACAGTAGAGAACTGATGGACTAAGAATTTACTGAAATTTCCCATTATGGGTTTCAATCATATTTGAAAGACTTTATGAGGCAAAAACTAGCATGGTGATTTTGACACCCCCGAAAATCACCACATTAGTTATGCCCCTACATACTGTTACTTACCTGTAATAGATTAATTTCTTTCATGCAATCTAATCTTGCTTTTGAATCCATCATCTCGAAGATCTGAACTTTTTTCAAAGCCACCACAGCTTGGTCGATCTTGCATCTTGCTCGGTGGACTACACTGAACTGGCCCTTTCCTATCTTCTTCTCAAACTCGAAATTAGCAAGTGTGCCATAAATGGATTCACTAGAAGAGAGCTTGATCAGCTCCGAGGCATTGTCATCCATTATGTATGGATAAACACCATACGTTCCTGAAACAAAACAAAAACATTTGTTAGAGATAAAGCAAATATACAAAGACTACATAAGCTGTTATCAGAAATACATCATCAATTTTACTGTCTCTCATCCTCACACCAGCATGTATTTAGAGGGAAAAGCATTCCCAAACACTGATGTAAAGGCAGTGATGTTTCTTTAAATTCATCTTAAATATACAGATTTGATTTAATCATTGTGCATATAAATATTACTATCAAAGTACTGGAGTTTTGAGAAGGTTCTTGATAAGGTTTGTAATCTTTTACACAAGCTTATTTTATCTCATCAGAAAGCTGAACTTCAATTTCCATCAAATTTTATATCATAACAATTTTTTATAGTAAGCCAAACCAATACTATATAAAAAAAAAACATATTATTAACATTCTTTTTCATGCACAATGAAAAATAATAAACAAAGTTGGTTCATCTTTACAGTATGGACACACTCAGGCAGGACAAACTGATGATGATATTCTTACATAGAACAAAAAGTTGCCATTGTCAGTACAAGATATACACTGCAGACATGATCAGTAACACCACAAATAAAGGAAAAATAATGTGGAAAGCACTGTTCACAGCCAAATCCACTCTGTGCTTCCAAGAGCGGAGCTCCCTATCAATCCTCTCTTTTGGCACCGTACGATGGGCACACCCAGTCACGGTAATTTAGATTTTTGTGACATGGAGGTGGGGACTGGCAAGTGCATACCATTATCACAAAGTTGTGATCTAGGCTACTCAAACTTCAAGTGAACCTTTAAGTCAGTAGATGTTTAACCCAAGAGCACTGAAAGTGCATTTGTACATTCACTTTAGCTTTATAACTAAAAGTAGCATTAATTATTGGAAGTTAAAACTAAGGTCAGTAATAAAATTAAGAGTATCAATAATGATTATAAAAGAACAAGAAATACTTTTTTCTTTTTCTGGATATTTAAGGAACAGGGTAAATAGGAGAGGCCAAGGTAGGTTTAGCAACTGACTCCATGGTGACTCAGCTTCTAGTTTTAAAAAGAAGATAAACATAAAGCATTAACTACATGTATGGTTATGCAAATGTATATAAAGTCACTGCCTCGCAAAATAGCACTCAGCTAAAAAGCAGTGGCTCATGTCAAGTATTGCCAAACTCAGTCTGCAGCACACAGGACTTACAAGCTCTGTCAGCTGCCCCAGATTTTGCCTGTAGTTTCCAATATTTGTAAAAATGGGCTACATGACACCAAGGTAGTCCTTCCTTCCTTTCTGTTGTTATTCTTTGCTTACAGAGATTATTCAATATACTAGTGAATATAGTTTTCCCTCGCTTTATAGTGCAGTCACAATGTAAATGTATACCAATCTAACTAATAACATCACCACTTTTAGCAATAACAAATGCAGTTGCATATACGTAAAAGCAGTGTTTTTTACTTATAGAATAAAATAATTATAGCTGTTCATCTAAAAATATATATATAACTAACTTTAATAATATCAATAATAATAATATCGATGATGATGATGATGGTGATGTGATGATTATTATCATAATGATAATGATAATGATAATGATAATGATAATGATAATGATGATGATAATGATAATGATAATGATAATGATAATGATTGATGATTGATGATGATGATGATGATGATGATGATGATGATGATGATGATGATGATGATGATGATGATGATGTTGATGTTGATGACGATGGTGATGATGATGATGATGATGATGATGATGATGATGATGATGATGATGATGATGATGATGATGATGATGATGATGATGATGATGATGATGATGATGATGATGATGATGATGATGATGATGATGATGATGATGATGGTGATGACAAAAATGACAAATAAAATAACTACGATAAATTCACATCATTGAAAATGTCTCACCAGAGACAACCTGCTGTGGACATCAGTATCCGCCTGTTATTAGTCTTATATCTGAATAAGCAAGACTTACACTGCCTTACGAACTGACCAAGGTATCACTAAGCACAACAGATAAACAAACACGAAAAACAATTTAATTTCCCCATCAACTTGAGCAGTAACAGAAGAAACCTGCCTCCCAACCTCAGCTCCGGCCGCGTCTCAGCCAAGGCACGGAATGTAAACAAACGCGTCGCGGCTCAGACCACCTTCGGCCGCCCGCGATGTCCCCTGAAAAGTGGCCCGACTACAGTGGCTGCCATTTTTTTCCGTGGCGAGAAACGGAATGCACTATGAAAGCCTGTATGTAGGTCAATTTTTACTGGGAGCTACATATATGGGCTCCGGGATTCATTTTACCTGTAATGCCTCGGTGACTCGCCAATGGTAACACCGTAACTATAATCAAAATCGTTTACTTCAGGTGGCAGCGCCTCCTCGGGCCACTTTGCGGTGGTGGTGGCAGTGGCGGACCGACAGCCGTGAGTGTTAGGTGTGTTGAGCTTGCATGTAATCAGTAAATAATATGGTTACGCGAAGTCTTAACTGTGAGCTGTTGATAAGCGAAGTAGAGAAACGGCCAGCCCTGTATAACTTCAAATTGAAAGAGTACAACGACAAGAATTTAAAGGAGAAATTGTGGACTGAAGTGTGTGAGGCACTTGTTCGTGGCTGGAATGACCTTTCGCCTGAGGAGAAGAATGAGGCAGGTAGGTACTTCTTAAGACAAATGAAATATATCATTAAATTTCTGAGTAATGTATTATGGATTAAAAGGTGCACCAGATTCCAAGAATTAGACCATGAATAAACCGATTCGCTGTGACGTCATAAAGCGTTGCTCTGGGCGACGAACTTCGGAAAACTGTCATAATTCGCAAAAAAATCCACGGAAAAGCTGTAGCTTATACTAATGTATTTAGTACGGTTGGACGTGTTTTGGTGTTTACTGTTTAGATACAATAGTTACAAGGCGTCCTGTCGTGTATACAAAACCTATAATGGTATTGTTCCCAGAAATACCGCTGCCAGACGTATCTGACCGTGGAAAGCATGTCTATGAAACCAGAATATATTGGAGGCGGTCGTGAGGGGATCGCAGAGAAGGAAGGAGCGCAAGGTACGACGAGAAACTTTTGACAATAATGATAATGAAAGGGACAATATCAATGATAATGAAGATTTACAAATATATGAATAGTAAAGATGAAGATAACAGTGGCATTAACGAAGCTAAGAGTAATAATTATCGTCGCGATAATAGCACTATTTTTTTTATATTTATAATTGGTGATCCTAACTTCAACAACAATGGCTAGACAATAATGATAATGTTACAATAGAGTAAAGAAGAAAATTACATGATAAGAAAGTCAATAATGATAACACCACCAATACAAATCATGATGTCAATAATAATCATAATAATGGAATAATACTAATGCATATAGTATTATTAATAATAATGATGATAATGACAGTACCAGTGATAACAATAACAGCAACAACAACAGCAATGACAATACCAATAATGATTTCCAACAATTTGTAGTTGCAAGGTAAAGTCCCATCTCCTACCCCGAATCCAATTTCTGAATCCGTTTCCAGTTGAAATGCATTATTCAAAATGTAAATAATAAATGCATTCCACAAATACGAAACCCGTTAGCATTAGTGAGCGGCTTTTTGTAAAGTTACCGAGTTTCGTACTGAATACAATGGCGATACACGCGAGAATGCCAATGCTTTTACTTCTCTGCGAATGGACTTGGGTGATATCGAACAGAATCGGTCATCAGTGAAAGCGTTTACAAACATCAAATAAGTAAAAGCTAAAGAAATTATCAATTGAATATACATAGACCGAGAAAAGGTGTAATAAGCAAGTTGTTTGAGTTTCTCCATTTGACTCTCGTGCGTACAGGATGAGTTTCACAGTGAACATTCATATAGGATTAGGATTTAATACTCTCTTTCGTATACATTAATGTCATATGGAACGAGCCTTTACAGTACCATTGCAGACTTCAGTTTTGACATTTGATGGTCTTTGGAAATATTCTCACAGCTTGAAACGGTATTTAAAAAAAACGACGCGTTTCATCCGGGACGTTTAAATTTTGCTCTTAACCGTCAAACTATGGTAGAGTAGAGTAGAGTCTCAGTACAGTTATGGTAGAGTCTCAATACAGTTTCCGACAAACCAGAGGCTTTATTCTTTACGGCAATAAAATGGATACAAGTTAGTTCATTGTTAATTCATTCAGATGACCATTAACCAACTTTTACTGTAAGTTTGAATATTCGAATACATCAAGATCACTTGACTTTACAGGAGCACTAACATCCACAGCAGCGAGAGACTACTACCTACTACTAATAGTAGCAGTACATACATAAGGGTAAAGGGAGATGTTTCCAATACCATCAACTACTACCTGCATCTGAAAAGAACTGCAGAATTAAAGAAACGAAACTTGAATCACTAATATCAGAATTTTGTAAACAAATTTGCTTTCCTCTTAGAACTCCAATAAAGTGTAAGAATGCGCATTTCACTGATATTTCCGACTTTGATCCTGTTGTCTATCATCCAACTCTGGCATATATATTGGGGGTAGTTTTCTTCGAGACCGTGTCACGTGTCCCTCATAAGCTTGTGCATTGTAGATTTATTAAGATATTCTCAGTGAAAGGAAGCCAAAATGTTGCAAGATATCTGTAAAAGAAATTATATACCGATCATAAATATATGTATCATATTTCTTGTACACCTCCATTGACTAGTTTGGAGGAACATAGCCAGCAAGGAGGAGAGAGAGACGGAGAGTAAGAATGTAGGAAGAGAGCTTGAAGCTAGAACATAGGAGTTTGAGTGGAGAAGAGAAAAAAAATGAATATGAAATGGTTCTGGGCGAAGAAGAGGATAAGGGGGTATTCCCTGCATCATCAGCCTCATGCGGCTGTGGTTGTCTTTTTTGTTTGTTAGTGTTTTTTTCCCTCGTGTCATATCTCATGTCGCAAGTACCACTTACACTTTGGCCTCTTGGTTCTCCGAGAACATATGTACGACTCAAATGAAATCTTAAACAGGATAAAATGTACTAATCTCATTTATTTCTGTTTTCAGGCAAAATAGTACAAAGGAGATGGAAATCTCTGAAAGAATGCTTCAGGCGGGAAATACAGCTGCGGGAAGGCAAGGCCGGAGACAGTGGATGCAAAAAGAGGAAATACATTTACTTCGACCAACTCTTGTTTCTGACCAGCACTCCGCGACGACGGGAAGCCCCAGATGATATTCTGACACCGAGAAGTGAAGGCGAGGAAGCCGAAGGGAATCCCACAAGCTTCGACGGCCCCACGAGGCTCCCGGAGGAAAAGAAACCCCAGGCCAGCGTTGAGAAGGTCCAAGAGGAAGAACTGCTCGAGTTGTTGAGAAATAAGGCACACCAAGAAATCGATGCAGATCAGTTATTTTTTGCATCGTTAGTGCCAGAGTTCAAGAAACTCAAAGATGATCAGAAGATTGATGTCAAAATAGAATTACTGCAGGTAATTCGGCGAGCGCAGCAGCTGTCGAAGGAGAAGTAATCAGAGTATGGCAGATCTGTGCCTGTCACCAAAATCAGTTGCACTCGGGCATAGTGGTTATGTGCTCTATATTATACAGACAGTGCGACCTCTTTCTGTGTAACGTTCTTTTCATATGGCAGGTCATCAATCTCGTCAAGTTCCAGTGTTGTATGCGGGTTTAAATCCTTACAAGACCATCAGTCCGTTGTTTAACCTCTGTCTTCTCCCGCCCAAGAATTATCCCTCCTTGTCTAATTTTTCTAACCAAGGTCAACTCCTTTCCCAAGGTTGCATACACGAGGATATTTCCATAATAATACATACGGTACAACTCATTGCAAACTTAAAGTATGCTGGTTTGCACCGGATAACGTTGCTAATATCTTTGTAGACGCAATTTCAGTATTAGAGTTAAACTGATAAATTTCTCTGTACATTGTGTTTATTGTGGCGTTAATGGATTATCCTTAGAAAGTGATATGATTCCTTAATAAACGTTATTTTATATAATATATATGTCCCTGTTTCACTATCCACAGGTTTCATTCATATCCGTCGACATTATATTGGGCTCTGTATTTCTGTTTAGGACCTTTACACAAATAAAAGGTACAAGATTATTATTATGAAATGTGGTTGACTACTATTTTTTGTTTAAGAAAGCGAAGTTCTTACACATGTATAGGTATTTCTTACTTTAACTGCAAGTCCTTCTGACGAAACACTTCCTCATGTTTGTGAACTCGAAAGACTCCGGTGCAGTTAGCAGTCTTCATGAGAAGCGCGGGACATTTTATTATAGTCTTAACTCTAGGTACGCTTCTCTTCACACATGGTATAAAAGGACCCCTGGTAAGAATAAGGCTGATTATGGAGTAAATTATGCACTTTCTTTTATGTCTTGTTTCTTAATAATGTGGCAATAAAGTGACAAAACTGCGGTTGGCATGAAAAAAGTGACCCAGACTTCGGGCCCTCATCTCGCCTGCTCACATCATACGACCTGCAACGACCTTGTTTTACTAGTAACGTTTTCATTAATTTCAACAACCTTTTCATTAGTTCCGTAGTCCCTCTCCCCCTTCCTTGCACCCTTCCTCCCAGTCTTCAGGTACCTAGAGGTTTTAATTAGACGTCTTCTCCTAGTTCAAGAGACCCTCTCTCTCTTCTCCCTATTCCCGTCCCATTAAGCCTTCTTCCCCACCAATCCCACCATGGCCTCTTACCTCCACACACACACTTGTTACACATTAGGATATGAACATTAATCACGCATATCCGGAATGGAAGGCCTTTAACTTTTCAGTAGAAAGCATCACAGATACTATCATTGGGATGTGTTATATACGTGTGAAAAAATGTATAAAACACATCTCAATGATAGTATATATGTGTGTGTGTGTGTGTGTGATTTTGCTCAAATTAAATTGTTTCTTATAATCCAGCAGTTGCAAGAATTGCTGTGAGCAATTATATCTTTCTGCAAGCGCTTTTCGTGTTAGAGGATAATCATGTATAATCTATTTCATTTTTCAGTCATTCTGCGAAGTACTGTTGCATCGTTTGTACTCGTCTTGACCAGAGTCTGTGTTATTTCACAATCTCATATTTAGATAATAAACAAATTGTTCTTGTCACCAATAAACTGCATAGCAAAATTGCTTATTGGCATACTGTACATATACCACCGCACGTACAATGTGATTCACAGATCCCCCCCCCCCCTCTCTCTCTTTCTCTTCTCTCTCTCTCTCTCTCTCTCTCTCTCTCTCTCTCTCTCTCTCTCTCTCTCTCTCTCTCTCTCTCTCTCTCTCTCTCTCTCTCTCTCTCTCTCTCTGTCACACCGGAATGGCGTTGTGTGAAGAAACATGTACCTCTCAACATAATTTCTATCTGGAAGTTTGATTAGGTGATAAACTCTGTGCTGAAGTCGTCATAGGTTTATGAAATCATAATTTTCTCGTATGTCATACAGAACGCGAAATTTTCCATTTTACACACTACTAGGGTGATGGAGGATTATTAAAGCAGAATAGAATGATCTCAAAATTCCATATCTTAAAGTTTATGACAGATCAGACGAGCAGAGAAACAGAATTGTCTGGCACAACCAAAGATGCCAACTTTACGATTAAAAAATTTTCTTTTCTTTTTTTCTTTTTTCTTTTCTCTTTTTTTTTTTCTTTTTTTCTTAGATGATTTCGAGTTTTTCATGTAACTTTCATATCTTAATTAAATGTTTTACCATTTCCTTTGGTTTTATGTACATGCTTTTGAACAAGTATTGTGTACAATCAAGCTTCATAGGAGTCGTAAATTGATATTCACAAATGGATTTGTAGTCATCAGTAGACGGTAAACGTAGGAATTTAGGAATTTTGTTCGTGTATCTTGCATCTGCATAGACATTGTCATGAAAGGTTAAAAAGTATGATTATATAGCATCTAGATGGAGGATTCATGTCTAAATGCAGTATGAAAATGATAATCATAGCCATAGATTTCCAACACTACTTCAGCAGCCCGACCACGCAAATTATGAGAACAGCTCGTCTGAAGATACGTATTGGTGAAACAAAGAGAACTGAACGTCTGTCTGGGGTCTTGGTGGGGACTCGCAATCAATAGTCGAGAAAAGAATGTAAATCATTTGTCATTTCGCATTTATTAAAATACCCAGTGTCTCCGCGTAGTGCACAGGGAGAATGCATTATAATTTCCACTTGATACTAACCACAGCTTATTTGAGCAACTCTGGGCAGTATCAAGGTTACCGACCTTGACTTTGCTGATGATGTTGCTATTCTAGAAGGTTAAGTTTTTGGTAGCGTTTGGTTAGTTATTTTGTTTATTCGTTGATTAGCAGGTTATAGAGTTATAAACAGATTTTTATGAATTTTTTACCAGATGTGTGTCTTAGCCAAAAAATTTAGCGGTGATCGGAATCCAGGATTTATTTTAAGGATTCGTTAGCATTGCGAGAACGGGAAACAGACGTCACCAGTGTTTGAAAGGTGATTTTAACGTAATTCTTCAAGTGTAAATATATTTATTGCATCAGTGACTCTATTGCCTTGGTGGAGGTATGCGCTCTCCGAGTGCTTCTAGTTTTGAATATGAAACAGGCTTCTTAAGAATCGCATATTAGCTGATGTTTAATGTACGATGAGATCTTTAAATTCTTCATGATGATGATGAGAATAATTACAAGCATAATTCTGAACAAGAAGGAGGCAGCCATGAACTGTGAATTTATTACAATATAACCATTTTTTCGACTTGTAACTGTCTCGGTTTAAGTGGCGAAGATTTTTCACCTGAATAATCTATAGCACATGCTTTTCCTGAACTACTTACACTATGTCTTTTCGGAAAAAAAAAAAAATGTTTATCGACACGTTTCTAGTTCGTGACCTTGTCTGCGCCATTCCGGGTCGCCATCTTTAATTTCTTGCATCGTCTGAAGTATCCGGTTATGAAATTTGTAAAACATCATGATTGATGTACTTATACAATAAAGAATTTCCTTGCTGGATGGGATAAAAATTCCTCATATTTTTAGGTCTAGCGTATGCTTCATAACACTAGGCACAGCGTAGTAAAATTAGAAGGTCTATAAAAATAACTCAGTTCATTAATGCTTTACAACTGACCCCTGTTATCATCAAACACTAACACGAAGTGAATGCACAAATTACGCGGAAATTACTGCATGTTTCTGGAAACTACAAAGGTATTGAAAATTCATCCCCCTCCCCCCTCCTCCCTCCTCCCCACTCTCCAGAATCAATGACATCAATCTCAACAAAAAAAGAGAGAATGAATTTATCGATATTGCGAACAGACCGTATTAGCAACCTGCATACCAAATAAAGGAGAGAAGAAAAAGACGAAAAAAAAATCTATGTTGAATCGATAGTCGCTTATAGAAACAACCGGATATATAAGCTGAATTTAGGTTCCCGCATACGAAAACTCACGAAATTTCGACAAACAAATTACGAATTCTAGTTGCGCAGTCACGTCCATGAATTCCAACAGGGGGGAGGAGGGGGGGAGGATGCACGACTTGTTGCATTTTGTAAAGACGGAAATCAATATGCCGTTACTTCTCCGCTGGTTCCTTCCTTTGAACAGCTGATTCCAAAAGACAACCGTAATTTCTTCGTCGAGTCAGCCATCAACCTTTTAGGACAGGAGGCCATAAATTCCGCGGGAATATTTAGTTACTTTGAACTGTCTTCATTTTTTTCGCGTTTCCGCTGCATTCTCCACCGCCATCACACGGACTGCCTTTCGTCACGCAGGTTGCCTATTGCCCAGGTTTTCCCTTGGGCTCCCTGCACAGCTTCATGACTTGTATGCTGTTTTATGACAGTTATGCTAATCCTAGTTAATGTTAGATTTTATAAAACTTAACAATAGTTTTTTACGTTTTAGAAATATCTGGAAATTGCAATAAGATTAATTATTAGAAACATGACAGATGCTAAGTTAACAGATTTTTTTTGACAATATATATATATATATATATATATATATTACATGCCGTTTATCTAGAATTTATCTGAAAATTGCAATAAGGTTAATCGACTTGCAAAGTTCTGATTAGAAATGCCAAATAAACATTTGTGTATTACATTAATATGTATTTGTGTGTGTGATAGTGACATTGATGATAAAAAGATAACGACAATGATGATAATAATGATATTAAAATTATAATGATAATGATAATAATGTGATAATGATAATGATAGTAATAATAACAACAATAATAGTAATAATTATAACGATGGTGATAGGAACAATAATATTTATTATGGTAATGGTGATAATAGTAATGATTATTATTAGTATAACAATATGTTAATAGTAATAATAACTAGAAACACTTGCCTCCGCCAAGGCAATAGGATCACTGATGCAATAAAAACACTCGCTTTTAGTATTGCATTAAAATCCCCTTTGTCTCAAGCACACTGGTGACGTCTGCATTTCCCTATATCGCAATGCTAATGAATCCTTTAAAGAATTCCTGGATCCGGATGATGATCCAGGTCACTACCAAAATATAATGGCATCTAATTGAACTAAGACACTTTTGGTTAAAAAAAAAAAAGTAAAATCCGTTTATAACTTTTTGATTTATCCTCCGCAGGATCCTGATCATGATCACTGCCAAAATTCAATGGCATCTAAGTTGGGTTAGGACACACCTATGGTAAAAATTCAAAAAATCTGTTACTAACTTTTTGAGTTATCCTGCTAACGAACTAATCAGCAAACTAACCAACGCTACAAAAGAAAGCTAATTTCCTTGGCAGAGATAATGATAATAATGATAATGGTGCTGATAATAATAACGATAATGAAGGAAGAATTTAACTAAGAATTAGATACATGAATAAAAATCAATAAACTTGACATCTAGATCGATAATGACTCCCCACCCCACCCCCACTCCCCCCCCACCCACC